GATCATCAGGGGAAATCAGCCTTTACTGTCACAGCTCTTTATTCTCCTGGTCTTGTGATTTGAAGTGGCCCACACATCTGCCAGGCTAAGTGGCGATTGAAGAAAGCAATAGTCTGTCTCTGTGTGTGTGTGTGTGTGTGTGTGTGTGTGTGTGTGTGTGTGTGTGTGTGTGGACTTGGTTAAGGGAACTTCCTGTTGTATTTGATAATGAACAAGTCAAAGAGGTTTTTGTAGCTCTGTGGAGAGGTTTGTTTTTTCCCTTGGAGGGTAGAAAACAGATGACCTAAGTCAGAAACTTTTTCAATAAACAGTCTCAACAAGTCAAATAAATATCCATAGCTGTATGTCTCACATAAGGCTCTGTCATATCAGGCATCAATGCTTTAAAGTTTTAGGCTCCTTTAAGCTTCCAGTATGTGACACTCGACAGTCTCCACAGATGAGTTGCTGTTCTAATGTGCTTTAGACGGGCTCATTTGACTTTATACTCATCTCAAGCTTCATACTTTTATTCCAACTTATTATAAAGGAGTAGATTCACTTACTCTCAGTTCTAAATAAGCTTTATTTTGCATTGTCAAAGCCTTGATGTAGCCTCTCAGTTCATTCCAAAAGCTGTTGTCTGCCTTTAAGACAACTTTCTTCTGATTGGTTATCCCTGTCAAACAGGAGGTTTGATGAATAGGTAGGCGTGGCTTCTGTGCTCACCGAAGCATCATATGGATTTATGAAAACGGCCTTGAGCGCAGTGCTCAGAGCTGTTTGAAACCTGAGCTTTTGGCTCAGGGGGATTACTTGTGCACAGACTGACCTCATTACTTTAAACTTTGTTCATGTTTAAAAAAGGCATCCATCATTATAACTGTAGAGATACAAGAGAGGATAAAAAAGGAAAAATTAAAATAAAAGCTCAGTAGGTCCAGCTGAAGCAATATTCTCCTCCAGAAAACACTGTGCAGGTGTTTTTCCAAGGACTTCCATGGACACGGTCACTTTACCTGCTCACTTTTAATGCTTTACAATGTATAGTGTAGAAGGAGGCTTTAACATTCAGACAATTTGGCTGCTAGCATCAGTTCTAGATGAATGTCTTGTGAGCCAGCGGCCGAGGAGACGGGGAAGGGAGGAGCAGAAGTGTTTTGTGAAGAGGAGAAGAAAGAGAGGATGAAATGAGTGAAGGATGGAGCAGATGGAGGGAGGAATGACGGTGGGAGTTAGGGTTAATGCCCTTTTACATTCCCAGATGAGGATTAGCAGTCACAAGTTCTCTGGCTGTTCCTGACCTGGCCTGGATTTTGAAGGCCACTGCTGCCTCCTGGATCCCTTAATATGCTCACAGACTCCGTCGTGGACAACCTCTCTAACTTACCCGATATACTCTGCAACAAGTATATTTATGTGTTGTTTTCCTGGTATTTTAGCTTAAAAGCCATCAGTTGACGGCTATATTTGTAAACCTGTGACTGAAGGAGCAAATGCTGAAAGTCCTTTTAAGGTGCTTGGCATTATGTACAATGTCAGCTTAGTGCGCAGTGTGGCTGCAACTGATTGCTAGTAGCATTGTTGGTAGCATGATTGACATTCTGGCAGTAATGGGGCAAAACACAGCTTGCTACTTTGATGCGCATAAACTAGAATTGTAAGTTTCATACAGGCTTGAGCTGTCAAGATGAGAGTAACTAATGTAACTGAAGGGACGTGAACGAACTACTGTGCTCCACACCAGCTCCATACTGTATTTTGTTGGTGTTTACTAGGGAAGCCTTGCATGATTCACCTTGTCCTGCATCAAAGCTCATCCTCTGACCAAAAGGAGCAGATTTAGCTCCCTTCCGCCTTCCTTTGAATCAACTTTTTCCTCTTCCTCATAGACTGAATGTTTGAACAGCAGGTTGCTCACGTTGCCCTGTTTTTAGTGGTTAAAAACACAAAAGGTTTGATTCTAAAGCTTCCTGAAATAAAGACGTTTTTAGATTTTTCTCCGGGCAGGCCAGTTTTGTCACATTGTTGCAATTGGCCTTGAAAAATCCGAGTTAATCCTGAATGCTCGGGTATTTATTTGCTTTATTTTCTTTCGAGACAGGATAGCAGTTCATGTCAACAAATAGCTGATCCGAGGCACTGTTACGTTCC